TTTTGCCACCTAATCCTCGAAATGCTTAAGGGTGTCAATATCCTTATAAGGACTGTGTTTGATTTCAATAGGCCTATTTATATGTACAGTTAAAAGAATAAAATTTTTGCAAGATTGTAAAGGAACAGTGTTGTCTTCTTTTTAAGACAGAAGGGTCTGTATAAGCATTTGTTCCGTTTCGTGCATGCAGGGATAGCTCATGGCAGTTAGAGACCTAAAACCAAATATTGGTAGCAAAAAGGTGCTTTTATGTGAACAAGCGCTTCTTCTCACCTCAGCTGGCCCAGAGAGGTTGTGGATTATTAAATTTAGCTGGAAAGAAGATGGGTTTCAGCATTGAGATGGGGCCTGCAGTACAGCAACGCTGAGAGGTTTGCTGAGGAAAGGGGCTTGATGAGGAGTTTTAGTGAAGGCACAGGGCTCTGGAACGGTGAAATTGAGAAAAGTTTGTAGATCATAGTATCTGGGGCTGAAAGTACAGTCCTGAGGTGAGAAATACATATTTGTTCTTTAGAATATAGAGAGAGGAAATGTGAGTTATAAGAATTCTTGTGAGTCCTTTATTGATGAAAATTCAGACAAGGTTGTAGATGACCTAGCCTGCTGCTTGAGGAAAAGAAGATGTTGCAAAGACCATCGTCTTAAAAGGGCTTTTTTTTTTTTTCAAAGATAAATGTTATTTTTTTCTTCTCCCTCTTCTTAAGAAAAGTATAAAGAGAGGGAAGGAGTGAAGTAAAGGGAGACTTCTTCCCTCTGCCATTAGTACAAGTTTATCTGGTTAGAAAGTCTAGCACCACTTTGCCAGATAATGCAAATGCTTACTATCAAAAAAGGTGTTTTTTTTTTTTAATTTTAAAATTAATTATATAAATTATATATTACTTAAAAATATTGCCTTAAATGTGATGTGTCTCCTTAAGAAGGGAAAATCTCACAATCATCAAAAAAAGAAATGTATCCTGAATGCCAGCTTTGTTTCTGAGCTACACATTACAAGAAAGGTAAGAAATCAGGCTGACTTCCCAGTATGTTGCCTTTTAAGGATATTGATTAAGGCCCTGTAGATTACCTCTTGGGAGGTGTAAATGGCTAGGGACAAGGTTATTTGCTTCCATAGACACACACATAGTGATTCTCTCATAAATGACATCTTTGCCTTCTCTTTGTGTTCCCAATTTCCTTTTACCATGGAAAGCACTATGCTTTCATCATCATACATTACTAAAGAGCCTTGCTTTTGTGATCTGTCTCACTAATAACTCATAAGACTGAATGAACGTTATAACCATGTGTCATCTAAGAAAGGTGTGCGGATGATCTACAGCATAATTCTTATATAGATGCCACCCAAGGAAGATGGCATTAAGCTGCTAACTCAGTGGAATTACAAAGTAGGGCCTTGGAGATGCAGGTGATGGTTGCTTTTGTGGTCAGGACTTGTCCTTGATGAAAGCAAAGTTGCCTGTTTCTTGGGTACAAAAAAATCTTGAGTATGGTTTTTGTTTTTCACTTATTACCCTATTAGTGGGCTGGGTAATCCTCACAAGTATGATCAAAGCTTGTCCTCAATAAGCATGTGTAAGTATGAGGTGTGAAATGAGCAATGCTGAATTACAAAAGGATAGGGAAAGTGGAAGAGGAAGGGGGCTGAAGTATATGTAGATTTGGGTGAAAAACCGTGTGACAGCTTTGAGCAGGGCAGTTGGACTAGGTGACCTCCAGAGGCCCTTTCCAACCTTACTGGTTCTGTGATTTCTGACAACAGGTAAAATGCTAATACTGATTACCTGTGAAGAGCCTAAATAGCAGAGGTAACACAGGTGTGGAATGCCAGTTGAAGGGAAGAAGTTAGAAAGACATTTATAATGACGCATTTCTGTACCCAAATGTAACTTCCCACCTGTGACCGATAGCTTTGGGTTTTCTTGTGCAGGCCTAACCTGATGATTGGAGAAAAGAAACTGCTGTATGTCAACTTGAACAGGTACAGCCCTGTGTATTCCTTGAGATGGAAATATTATTGGTAGTTGCTTCTGTTGCAAATTCTTGCCATGCATGACTAAGTACCCTGAAGAACCTACATACAGGATCAGATAAACCTAGTTTCTGCCAGTTTGCCAGGCTCTCTTTTTTGGGCAACATATCATCAGGAAAATGGTGACGTCTGAACTTTGGGAAATATGCATTCTGCCATCATGCTTGATATTTCATGCCTGTTTTTTGGACTAAGATGTGGGGTAAAGCATAGCCCAACAGTTGTTGGGTGACCTTTTTGGAGTTGTAGATAGCAGCAAAGTTTCATGTTTGTCCTGATGAATATTTCTAAAGCCTTAGCCACCCTGTGATCTGATCTGCATTTGTGGCATTGCTCCTTCTGAAGAGATTAGTCCTGAGGAGGTATGATTGACACATCTCACCTCCCACCCATGTTCCTCCTCTGCTTGGTTGCATCATTGAAGAAAACCCCAGATTCATTGCAGCCTAACCCAGTATGTGGATAAAGGCTCTACAAACTTTTCCAAACTGAGTGTCTAATAAATCAGTGTCTCAATAAAGACCAGATGACTTAACCTGGGAGACAGGAAGGTGGGGAACAAGTCAAGGAAATAGAGTACTTTCACATTTTATTCAGACTTTGTGTTGATTAAGGCCATTTAGTTCCAACAGAGGTCAAGTGTCCAGCTGCCACTTCACTGTCTCTCAGCAATTCAGCTCCTGCAATAGACCTTCTACCAAAACACATTGCTATGAATTAGTCTATTAAAATGAATTAGATCCTGCAGAGTGAATGCTGATCTGCAGCTACTCTGAGGGGGAAGTCCTTGTCACTGGGTTTCTTGATCTAGGCAGCAGAAGAAAATGTTTTATCTTATGCAGTAAAATTTCCTGCAAATTGTTAGTGAATACATTTTAGAAGGGTGCAGCTGATTATAGATAAACCTTTCCTCTGAGAATAAGGTCACCATTCTCATTACACTTCTATTAATGGGATTTTGACTTGGCTGTTGTCAGCAGTTGGCTCCAGATAGGTTGTGCCTCATTGTTAGTGCTTGTAAAGATAAACGAGCAATGGAAGCATCTTTATGAACAGCAAAGATGGCAGTTTATATAAACATCCTAAGATGCAGAAGACAATGTCATTAAAAAATATTGGTCTCTGACCAGTTTCTGTGCCAGTACTTGGAGGTATTTGTTAGGGTGTTTCTTACTGAGATGACAATAAGGTGGACAGATAGGAACCTTTCCTTTTGGTGTACTTACACATAATCCTTTTTATTCCACACTGCACATTTTCCAAAGGACATGAGGGTATTTCTCTGGCTCAGAACAAATTATTCCTTTATGTATTACTTATTACAGAGAGGTGTATAGATGAAAGGAGATGAAAGAGAAAAGGGACAGTTACAAAGTTACGAGAGGAAGAAGACAGAGAGGAGAATAATTTCCCCTTCCTCCTCAGGGTTAGAATAGAACAGATAATAAATAGCCCCAGTTGAAGTATGCAGTGCTTGGAAAAAATTATCACAGTAAGGGTTGAAGAAAAAGTAATAGAAACAAGCTTGAAAACACCTGGTAAAGGACAGGGCAGATTGCCTTTTAAATGATCAGTAGATGGTCCAGCAGGGTTTTCTTCTTTCCTGTCTTTAGTTTTGGTTTTTTTTTTTTTTTGAGATTTGAATGGCATAGTAAATATGGTACCTAATGAAACCTCAAGCAAGGTTTAAATAACTGATTTTCCTTTTCTCAGCTTTTTATCTCAGTGAAGGCAATTATTTTTAAAAGACTTTGAACTTCTGTTTTATAAGACTTGTTTGCAGAGGTTCAGCAAACCATTTTGTAAAGAAGTTAGCATGACAGAAGTAGTCTGTAGATAATCTAGCTGCATTACATGAAAACAAATATATTATGATGATTGTACCCTCACCAGTGACTCCAAGCAAGATAGTAGAGTTTTATCTATTTTATCAAGATTTGTATCAATACTTGCATTAGTCATTTAGTAGGTGATTTGTTTCCTTTGTTGGTACTGAACCACTGCTGCGGTTTAACAAGGAACACCATGTTGCCAGCCATGCTGTGTTTCACAAGATAGAAATCTGAGGTCTTCATCTTTTGTGGTTATTAAAGATACTACAGTATGTTTTTTTTCTTGAGTAGAACAAAGGCACTGTTCATATTGGGTCAAGGTCAAACATGATGCCTGCTAAAAGGAATGAGAGCTTTGTAACAGACTTAAGTAGGGGCAAGAAGTTTCTGTGGTTTTAACTGAATGTGGAAAGCTTGGCGAGTTATTGTCCAGTTCAACTCAGTTCTTAACGGCACAGGACCTAATACATTGATACCAAGCCTTTGACTGTTGGAAGAAAATTCTACACATACTAATAAATGGGCACCATGTGTTTACAAACCCTTCACCTTATCTCTGCCTTAGGTAAGTTTTCGTTGTATGTTACAGGGCTGGTCTTTCAATACCTTTCACAGGTAAGCACATACTTAGGCAAACACTGGAAATTTCCAAATTCCACCGGAACAGTATAGCTTAGGTGCACAAAGATCAACACATGAGAACCAAAGATGAATGGGTTTTGCATGATTTACAATGAATAACTTTTTAATGAGCTCTTGTTTTAATATTTATTACATAAATTGTTAAAAATACAAACTATTTAAAGTTATTTTCATCAGTGTTACTTAATGAAATTAGTATTTCTTTGTAACTGTGTCTGTATCTTGGAAAGGGAAAAGTGCAAGGAATACAAAAGATTTGACATTTAGCTGTTGCCATAGATTTTATGTAGAAGTCAATTGTATGCTATGTTTACTGCCAGCACAAAACCCTAGACAGATTAGGTAAGATGGAAAGCATACTGTGTTAATATTTCTTATGACTTCAGCTTTTTTTTCCCCAGGTAATTTTAGTTCCTTACTTTTTTTCACTATTCCTTTCCTGAAGTATTCATGATGGCTTGTTCTTGCAGGAGAAGCTTGATGTCAACGGTATGGGGCATGAGGTGATAATATTTGACTTTTCTCTCATAAGAGGACTGTGGGAAACTCGAGTTAAGAAGAGCAAAGAACGTCAGAGGAAAGAGAAAGAAAGATTAGAAAAAAGCTCATTGGAGAAGTAAGCCAAATTTTCTGCAGTTCATTTTAAGTGAATCCATTATTATTGCCCACTTACATTGACATATACTAAGCATTATCAGATGATTCAATTTTATTTTTGGGGGTTTGATTTCAATGATTTCTTGCCTCCTTTCCTCATATGATTGTAAGAGTAATGCAACACAAACTGTGCTGGCATTTCATCAGTCCCTGCCTTTACCTATGTAGATTGTGACTTACTAGTGGTGTATCTTATTGTCTACTGTGTAGATTTCATTTGAAAAGAAAAATAACACATTTTGTAACTTTCTATTGCTTACATTTTATATAAAAGTATGGCTTCTTATTATGGAATTAATGAAAACATGTTAACAAAATTCAGCACTAAGAAATACTTTAAGTCTTTTTGTTGAGTTGACAGGAGAAACAAAAGGAATTAAATAAATGGATACATACAATTGCTTCTGAATATGAGAGGATAGAATAAAAGAATTATCAGAGGATTTTTTTCTGGTTCAAATATCAAAAAGACCCTTGATGATAATACTTACACCCACTAATCGTGTTATTATTTTCATTATATTTAATTTATGATTTCTTTAAGTAATATTTTGGTTTCTTTATGTTCATTCCCATTAGAGACAGTGAAATATTATAATGTGCTGGCAATGTCAGAAACATATGACTCACTATTTTTCCCCCTCTGAGAAGAGAACAAAGCAATAGATGTCACTTTCTTCTTTAAAAATAAAACACATAGGGTTAAACAGCGCCCTTGTTTAAGAGCATCATTGCACTGAAGCTTCGTGTAGTGTTTCAGCTGTCTCAGGAGGTCCCCACTCACAGAATCTCACTACCAGTGCAGCTATGTGGACAGCAGAGCAGCTGGGCTAAGAGGAGGCCAGGGTAATACAAAGTCTGACTGCGCTTTCTGCATGACTTTTTGAAACATCCATAGCTGCAGTCTTTGTTGTCCTGTCTCTAACCAAAGCCTGTTTTAAAAACCATAATCCCCCCCAAAAAAAAAGAAAAATGAAGCTTGTCCTTTGGACTAAATTCTCTAGCAAGGGTAAGCTTTCTTTTTGTTACGAGCTGAGGGATAGAAAAAGTTTGCCGTTGTGAGTGTTACCCTTATGGCGGAAAAGAGAAGTGAAATGATTTGGGATGAAACCATTCTTATTTCTGTCCCAGATGCTACACTAAGAAGTGTCTTTGTGCCATTCTAATCCAGACAAAGCAGATGATTCTACTGCTGCCTATGTCAGGTAGTGGCTCTTAGGGTGCCACTGCAGCCTTCTTCATGAAAAGAACATTATGACTAGGAGTCCACATCTGTAGTTTCTAATGGCATAGGCAGTTATCTTCAGAACTGATGGAAGGTCAGTCCCAACGTGGACCTAAGTGACAACATCCCCCTGCCAAGTTTTGTTTGGTTTTTGGTTTACTATGGTATAGAAGATAAATACTGAGTTCACTAGTGCAAAAACAAACCCGAAGTGCCAGGTGTGGGGAACTACTGTATGCAAGAGGGAAAG